TTAATAGAAATCTATACACAATATCTCAGAAATAATATAGATATTGTCACCATACTCATATGATTTACAAAAAAAACGCAATGTGTTCTATAATATAGTACAAAGATGTATGCACTCACACCTCTACATTTGTACATGATACACCAACATTAACTTAAAATATATCAGATAATAATATTAAATATTAGCACAGCCTCTTTGAATAATGGAGATCAATTTATGGAAACTATAAACTGCGATTCACATTAGTGAGCTTGTCATGATCTCGATCTAAAGACGAGCCATGACTCATAGTAACCGCCAGTTCTACTACAAATACTACTAATAGAGTTAATAGTACTGCAGCTCTGCAGAGAATATTAGCAACATTGAGATGAATCAGATCTTCATTTAGTGGTACATCAGCGTTATTGTACAGCATCATTAATACTAAGCTAGTGGCGACTAGTTGTTTTTTTTTAATTTGATGGTCAGGCAGTATTTGGCCGGTACCCATATATTTTTTTTTTTTTTTTTTTTGGTGAATCATTTCTGGAGACCCGACGGCGACATAGTTATATCACTAGGGTACGATGGGTATATGTTCATTATTTATTAATAGGGGTTATATACGATTTTCTCTCTAAATTTCGGGCACAAAATTTGTGTCTCTGATAGTTTGTTTAGCATTTATATTCAATATATATAAATTATACAAAAGTATTTAAAAATAGTAAATCATCTTTAAACTACAAAGACGTACTGTCTTGACAGTTCTGTAAAATTAAAGAACATTGTGGTAGTGATTATGAGCCAGAATTAAAATTTTTGAACAAATATTTGAAGAATTCGACGAAAACAATACGTTTTCTTTGCTATACTCAGTCATGTCATTTTTGTAAAACATAATAAATTTCATATAAATAAGTAACTGAAAAAGTGTGCCAAAATATATATAAATATATATAATAATAACAAACAAAATCCATTTCAACAATTAAAATTATAAAATTTTATTGTAATAATCATATATAATATAGTAAGATTTGTGTTTACTTTCAAAAATAAATGAGAAACTACAAATGGATGAGTAGGTATTAGTAATAACAGCAGTGATATCAGTTCAGGGGCAGCGTTATACCAAAGACAACGTGTTCAAAAAAAAAATTTCAACAATAGTGTACAATACTAACACATTTAAAAGGATCTACTAAGAATGGCCACAGTAAAATTTTATAATATATAATAACTATGTTTCTATATCCTCAATGTGACGTTCATTTATATTTACTTCGTAATGAATTTATTACAGTTCCTACTATTAGTTAGTTAGTACTTTATTTGTGAGATTCTTATTATCATCCAATTAACTTTTCAACATAGCGGAACGTTCGAGAGATTGTTTGTCCTCGTTAATCGTATAAATGAGATTTATGGCTTAAATGCATTTTACCACCCCATCG